ATGTGCTGACGTGGCGGGTGGGCGCGGGGGCGTGGGGCGGATGGCGCGGGGGGAGCGGCAGCGCGTGGTGGAGGCGGCGCTGGGGACGACTGAGCAGGACAACGAGGCGGTGATGGGGAAGATTCGCGCCCGCCTGGAGAGGTGCGTGGGATGGGGCAAGGGGCGTGGGATGGGGCAAGGTGGTCAGATAGTGCGTGGGATTGGGGAGTGCGTGGGATTGGGGAGGGAGCACCTGGCTGACAGGGGCTGTGGAGGCGGTGCTGGAGACGAGTGAGCAGGACAACGAGGCGGTGATGGGGAAGATGCGCGCCCGGATGGAGAGGTGGGCGGGCTTATAAGGGGTGCAATGCGGTCAGGTAGTGCATGGGATTGGGGAGGGTGCACCTGGCAGGGGTGGTAGAGGCACAGGCGCTGGGGACGACTGAGCTGGTCGCGGCGGTGATGGGGAAGATGCGCGCGCGGCGGGAGAGGTGCGTGGGCATGGGCAAGGAAAGGACCAGGCCTGTGGGGTTGCAAGGAGAGGAGCAGGTGCGTGGGTGTGCAAAGGGAGGAACAGGTGCGTGGGTAGGGGCAAGGTGTCAAACAGGTGTGTGTGATTAAAGAGGGTCCAGTTCACACCACAGGTGCCTGACTGCCTGTGATTAAAGAGGCTCAGGCAGTCAGTGTATGCGATGCAACCAACGCTTCCCCTGTTCCATGAAACTTAGAGAGCAGTCCTTTCCTGCATTACTCGTCACATTGCCGCATGTATGCATGGTGCACTACACACACATGCACGGCTGCACTGCACTGCACATACACATGTGCGGCATGCACACACACATGCATGGCTACACATTCGGCTGCACATACACGTACGTGTATGCACATATACATGCACATGGCAGAGTGGGTCTGGAGCCCCCAACGGTGGAGATTCGATTTGAGGACGTCAGCGCGGAGGCGCGGGTGTACGTGGGAAAGAGAGGCCTTCCAACTCTCCCTAACTTCACACTCAATATGATCACAGTAAGTCACTCAACGCGTCTCGTGCATATGTTCTGAGGTGCCTAAGCAAAAGAGAGCCTTCCCAACTTTACATTCAGCTCAACATCACCTCTTGCACCTTTGCATTTCAATTCACTCAGTTTTTCTCCAAACCCTTGTCTCACTCCCTCTATATCCACCTGCTGCGCCGCTCTGCGCTTCCCTCTCCTCCTCTGCCGATGTTCCTTTTCATTCTCTCTCACCCATTCCTCCTCTCCGCCCAGTCAATGCTGCGCAGCATGCGACTGCTGCCAGACAAGAGGAGTCGTCTCCCCATCCTCCACTAATGTATCTTCTGCCCTTCTCCCATCCATGTCTCTCCACTTCTTCCCCCAACCACCGCCTCTCACCCCCCTTTCCTCCTCTCCGCCCAGTCAATGCTGCGCAGCATGCGACTGCTGCCAGACAAAAGGCGCCGCTTCCCAATCCTCCACGGCTGCAGCGGGGTTCTCAAGCCGGGAAGGTGAGGGTTTAAGCTGGGCAGGTGAGGGGGGCAGGTGAGGGATACTCCAGGACAGGTGAGGGTTTACACCAAGCAGGTGAGGTTTAAGCTGGGCAGGCGAGGGTTAGCCAAGGCAGGTGAACATGAGGGTTTAAGCCAGGCAGATGAGGGCTTATGCTGAACGATGAGGGTTTAAGCCAGGCAGATGAGGGCTTATGCTGAACGATGAGGGTTTAAGCTGGGCAGGTGAGGTTTTAATCTGGGCAGGTGAGGCTGTAAATGGGGCACGTGGGCGGTTAAAGGAGGCTAAAAGCAGAAAGATGGTAAGTCGTTTTCAGGTTTCATCCCTCCAAACCCCTGCCCAACCCCCTTCCAACACCTCCTTGCAATCAACGGCTTGCCCCTACCTTTTCCTCCCCCCCCCCCCCCCCCCCGCCCCCCCCTTCCATCCTCCGCACCCCCTTCCCCCCTTTCACCCCTGCCCCCCTCACCCCTGTCCTGACAGAATGACACTTCTCCTGGGCTCTCCTGGTGCAGGGAAGACCACCCTCATGACCGCCCTGGCGGGTCACCTGGACAGACACCTGAAGGTATGGTATGGGGACCACCTGAGCAGACACCTGACTGAAGGTGAGCCTGGCAGGCAGGTAGTTGGTACCCCACTGGCATGATCTTCACTTGATCCGAGGCCTGGCGTTGGCACTGTGCTTGAAGGACATGCTTATCCATGTGAGCGATTTTTGTGAGATTTTAAAACCCGCCTTGACACCATCACCATGTTCCAAGGAGATGCTTGTCCAAATGCGTCTGCTCTCCATTGAGATTGCCTTAAAGCCTGCTGTTGCACGGGAGAGCCATAGGCATGCTGCTATGCTCATTGCGTCCTCTCTTACCTTTTCTTGCTTTCCTTTTCCCTCGTGCCTCCTGCGTTCCACCCTGGCAGCTCACTGGCTCCATCACGTACAACGGGCAGCAGCTGAAGGATTTCAACCCTGCCCGAACAGCATCCTATGTGCCCGAGTGTGACGAGCA